GCCGGCGGAGGCCTGGCGGAGCTGGAACGCGGTGGGTGCCATGAGATTGGCTCGCGGCTCTCACGGCCCTGTCTAGGCCTGAAGGCTTTGTCCTGCGCCCGACGCTCCTCTTCCGAGTGTTTGGTGTTTGCGAGAGCAGCCGGGCGCCGGTCCAGGCGTGAACACACCGTGGAGAGAGAGAGAGAGAGAGAGAGAGAAGTGTTTCTCGAGGTTCTCGAGGTTGATACGTCCACCCATACCGCGTTGGTGTCCCAGTCGTTGGTCGGACTGTGTTTCGCCTTCCCATCAATCAATCAAAGGTTGATATCCTTTGGCCGCGTTGGGTAGCGAAGATTGGTGTGACGCGATCCACGCAGGCGTGGTTTCTGACGGCCGACCGTCAGTGCACGGATTTGCCCCTTCTTTGCTATAAGCGGGTTGATTGAGCGAGACTCGCACAGACAGCACTTGAGCACTGGATAGGGTCGATTCCGCATGGTACGGGACCCCTCGATCGTCTCGCCCTCCCTCACTGGGAGAGAGAGATTTTGTTTGTTCTCACTGGTGTGTTCATTGGGGGGGTCATAACAAACACGGTACAGGATCGAGGTGCACGCTGCCGAAGCAGTGTCGTCCCCCCTCTCCCCGACGGCGATGGCGGTGTGACCGATCGAGCTACAAGAGGAACTTGTTCAGCACAGGATCCCCGGGATAGTCTGATGCACTACCCCTCACTGTGGGCCTGAGACCATCAGCCAGCATCCCGTCACCGTCTCGGGTTTGTGTGGGAGCGCTCTTTAAGAGACCTTTCATCTCCGCTTCTCTCCCCAACTCCCGCACGCAGGTATGTATCAGGAAGAACAGTTAGGATGGGCCCACACGCACAGCATGACGCCATGCATGACCGCACACTCTGACACACATCACACTCAAACACAAATGCCTCAGTCGTCAAGAGGCACCGCGCCTCAGACTCGCGACGAGCACCGCTCGCGAGTCCACCAGGCCCTCGGGCCCTTCGCCGGCCGCCTGCGGGCCGCGCAGCTCCTGCACGCCCTCGACTGCCAGCAGCTCGCCGCTCCCGCTCCCCTCGAGCGAGCGCAGGCACGCCTGGAAGGTGGGCGAAGGCGAGGTCGGCGGTGCCTCATTGAGGCACCCCGGGCCCCAACGACCAAAGGTGAGGTCGAGTGCGTGCGTCCAATTTCGCCATGATCCGGGTGGGGTGCGGAGGTACGGCTGAAGTGCGGTGCCCGGGGGAGGTTTGTGACGTCTGCTCAGGCACGCCTCCGCTTCCGGCCGGGTGGCATAGGGCCTGTACTCCGACTCGATGGGCAGCGCCTAATCTCGGTCACTCTGATCTCGGAACGGGTGGGTGACTCCGACTCCGCTATGACAGGCGACGCCGCGAGCAGCAGGCCACTCGGCGCGAGCGCGCGACTAGTGACAGTCAATGGCATCAACCAACCGCCAGTGTGAAATTGCAAGTCGTCTCCTAGCGCAGCGCGCGTGAGCATGTCGCGGAGGCTTCCCATCTCATCCGCGGTTGCGAAGCGTCCGTCGAGCGAGTAGAAGACGTCGCACGCCAAGATGACGTCAAATGGGCCCGCCAGAGTCCTCTCGGAGGAGGCGCAGCGCCAGTCCACCGTGCGCGCCTCGCAGCGGCTGCCTACGCCGTTGGCAACCGCGCCAGCCATTGCGCACTCCAACGCCAGCGGAGAACGGTCGGCGAGGATCACCTCTCTGGCGCCGGCGAGGCCAGCAGCGATCCCCGCTGTGCCGACGCCGCAGCCCACGTCGCAGACTCGCTTGCCGGCGATCAGCTCAGGGTGCTCAAGCAGGTGCAGGGCAGTGGCGGTGCCGGATGGCCAGGCCGCAGCCCAGAGCGGCGGGTCATCTCGTGCGTAGGGTATGTCTCGCCAGTCCTTTGGCAGCGCAAGCGAGAGTTGGTGGGCCGGGCTCAGCGTCAGCTCGATGCTCCGCATCGCGAGAGCGGCTGCGCTGCAATGGCGAGCGCTAGTTGACAGGCTCGGGCAGGAGAGAATCCGTGTGACGCGGAGCCGCATTGCCAGCAAATGCTGCCAACCGTTGCTCGACTACTGCACCGCCCACTGCTGCACCGCCGTTCGGAATGGGCAGTAGGGATAGCTTGCCAGGCCCCCGAGTTGGTTCACAGCCTTGTTATTGAGAAGAAAATACCTCCTATGGCGCTGTTGGCCTGTGAGAGGTTGAGGTGGAGCCCTGGAGGCCCTGGGGATGGGGGGGGACTACCCGCGGGCTTAGAAGGCCCGCGCGCAGGGGGGTGGGGCATTCACAGACAGACCTACCTCTCTCTCGAGGTTCTCGAGGTGGATATCCTTTGGTGTCCCAGTCGTTGGTCGGACTGTGTTTCGCCTTCCCATCAGTCAATCAATCAATTTGGGCAGTAGCTAGCCCGCCCCCCCCCCCCCCGAGTTGGCCAGAACGCTATTCACAGACCTGGATGCAGACATGAAGAAGACAAAATCTCTCTCTCTCAGACATGCGGTCATCCTCGATTCCTGTTTGTTGAATGTAAAAACATTACACGTAAAAACATTACATACTGAATCCTCCACCAGTGGCGCAAGCCCGCTCGTCCCGACGCTCGAGCGACTCGTCCACCTTGTGAGTGTTAGAGTTGTTTGGCGGTGGTGTGGGGGGGGTGGGGGGGTGAAAGTAAAAAATCCGCTTCGCTTGCGCCGTCCAACGCCTCGAGAGCCCAGTAGGCCATGCTCTGGCGGGCTCACGAGCGGCGCGCACCGCGGTACAAGCCGGCGCGCGGCGGGCGCTGGGAGCCTATTCACAGAGGGCTAACGGGTATTTTTTCGCTTCGCTGCGCGGCCTGGGAATAGGTAGGTAGGTGGGGCACGGAGCCTGGCGATTGGAGCCCGCAATAGGTAGGTAGGTAGGGCGTTTTGATGCGAGTCGTGGGACAGACCCCCTATCTGGGTAGGAGCCGGAACCCTGCGCTCCGAGCGTGCCGACACTCCACAACCCGGCGCTGCCAGCAAACATAACAACATCACAGCTACATCACAGCACTTCATAGTTGGCGTGGTGATGGCCGCGGCCCTGGTCAGGGCTCTCGTCGGCTTGTTCGCTGTGGGCGCCGGCGAGGCGCGTCGCACGAGCCTCGCCATGCAGTACAAGCCTCTGCGCCGCCACGCGAATCTGTTTGAGGACTGGACGGAGTGGGTGCACCCGCCGCTGCTTCACGCGATCCGCTCTTCCAATGCGAGCGCGCTGCTCGATCTGCTGCGAGAGGAGGCCGGCGGAGGCGACAGCTCCGGCGTCTACTCACTCCCGCTCTTTCTCGACGCAGAAGGAGGGTGCGCGTTCTGCGACTTGCTGCTGGACGAGCTGGACGGGTACTATGCCTCCGGGCTGCCCATCGAGCGGCCAAACTCGATGAACAATTATGGCATCATCGTCAACGCCATCGGGATGCGGCCTGCGATCGACCGGCTGCAAGCGGCGGTGCTGCACCCCCTGGCCGCGCTTCTGTACCCCGAGCAGGCGCGCCGCGAGATGTAGTCGAGATCGATCCGAGACCGATCCGAGACCGATCCCGGCAGCTGGGCTCTGTCGGGCATGAGTCAACGCCATGAGTGGCGCCACGCACGAGAGCGGCTGCGGCATGAAGCGGCAAACCGTGTGCCTCTTTCCCTACCGGCCTGCCCCTGTGCCCTGCTGGGGCAGGCTGATTTCCCGAGGTCGCCCGAGTTTACCCGAGGGTTCCCTCTGGAGCAGGCGGAGGGCGGGTTCACGTCGCACCACTCCTTCATGGTCAAGTACAAGGCGGGGCAGGACCTCGGCCTCGACATGCACACGGATGACTCCGACGTCACAGTCAACGTCTGCCTCGGCAAGGACTTCCGCGGCGCCGCAAACCAGATGCGGAGGACGGAGACGGCTGTGTGTCCCGACGAGCACTCGAGACGACACCCGACCCGCTGTGTTCGGCCGTCTTCCACCGTGATCCTCCGCCTCAGTGCCCCTCCCACCCACGCGGTGCTCGGAGTACACGGCAGTGGGCCGCACCCCAGCCCTGCTCGTGGTCCCATGACGCAGGCGCCGCGCTGACCGTGTGCGGCGACTCTCGCTCGCCTTCGCACCGCCAATTCTACGCCTCGTACTCACACGAGCGAGGCCTCGCGCATGTCCGCCTCAGCTCGACTCCCTCGACGGTTGAGCCATGAATCGCAATCCAGTCATCAACAGGCCGCGCGCTTCTCCACCTCGGCTCGCGGCGGCACGGCGCCGACGACATCGCCAGTGGCGAGCGCAACAACCTCATCGTCTGGAACCAGAATGCGAGGCGCCGCGCCTCGCCAGGCCGTGCGCGGGCAATCTCGGGTGATCTCGGGGTGATCTCGGATGGTCTCCCCCCCCCCCCCCAGGTACCGCGCCTCGCCAGGCTACGTCAACCGGCAGCCGTACTTGCGCGAGGCGGCCCCGCCCGACAAGCGCTGCCTGAGCTACACGCGCCCGGCGCGACTCTGGCGACGGGTGGGTGAAGGCTGGACTCGTGAAGAATGAGATCTCGCTCCTAGGCACGACCGCGACTTCGGCGACTTCACAGCCTACCCGCCCGGCCTCGAGGCGAGCGAGATGGACTCACACACACACACACACACACACACACACACACACACACACACACACACACACACACACACACACACACACACACACACACACACACACGCACGCACACACACACACACGCACGCACGCACGCACACACACACACACACACACACACGCACGCACGCACGCACGCACGCACGCACGCACGCGCACGCACGCACACACGCACACGCACGCACACACCTGACACTCCAAATGCCGTGTGCGGAGACAGCACCGGACGTGGAGACGCGAGAGCAGCTGCGTGAGAGGAGCCCACCTTCGCTCCGCACTCAAGAAGCGTGGGCCCCCCTCCCCTTGCCTTAGGAGTTCCGCGGGCGCGGCTGGTGCCCTCCCGCCTTCGCGTGCTACGACAGCATGGCGCCTGCCCTCAAGAAGGACGAGCTGTGAAGCTGCGCGGCGCGTGAGGTGCCGCGCTTGCCTCGTAAATCCCCTGCTCGGCGCGGAGCGATGACGTCCGGCTTTGGGTCTCATCTAGACATAGGAAGGGAGAAGCTTGTGTGTTTGTAGTGTGTGTGTGTGTGTGTAGCCCGACCAGCGATATGGCAAAAGCTTTGTACTATTCTCACCCGTACCCGCCCTCCCTCCCCCGCCACGTCGGCAAGGACCAAGTCCCGCAAAATCAGAGACGGACGGACGCACACATACAATGTCGGCAGGCGCTAGCAGCACCCACGCGACGGCGAGCGGCTCAGCGAGCCCGGCCTCGCATCGCTTTGAGCCCGACCTCCTCATCGCGCCCATGCCTTCCGCGGGTATCGTCGAGCTCGTCGAGCACAAACGCGAGTCGCTGAGCGAGTTTAGCCGGCCCCGCACCCACCCGAGCGGCCCACGCCGCCACCCAAGCTGGCTTTGGGACCTCGGCCCGTGCTCCTCGGCCGAGGAGGAGCGAGCGGTGAGCCCAGCAGCGCCAGCGCGCAAGGAGCGGGCCGCCCGCGTGGTGCGCGGCTGCGACTCCGCGCGCGCGCGGAGGACATCCAAGGGCAGAAAATCTCTGCGGGGCAGCAGGCAGGACGCCGAGCAAGCCGAGGCGGTCGAGGGGGCCGAGGCGGCGGCAAATGCAGCGGAGCAGGACGCAAAGATTGCGGCGGCTGTGGACGCGGCAAGGCGGGCCCGGGCCAAGTCAGCTGGCGCCAAGGAGGCACAGCGGGCGGCGGCGGAGATGGCCGCAGAGATGGCGGCTGAGCGGGAGGCAGCGGAAAGGGCGGCGATCGAGCGTATGGTGCGAGAGCGGCAGCAGCTCGTGTATCTCAAGGCGCTGAGGAACGGCCTTGACGCCATCAAGACGGTCGCAAAGCAGAAGAGGGCGGCGGAGAAGGCGGCGGCGGAGAGGGCGGCGGCGGAGAAGGCGGCGGCGGAGAGGGCGGCGGCGGAGAAGGCGGCGGCGGAGAGGGCGGCGGCGGAGAAGGCGGCGGCGGAGAGGGCGGCGGTGGAGAAGGTGGCGGCGGAGAAGGCAGCTGCGGATGCAGCAGAGGTGGAGAGAGCGGCGGCGGAGAAGGTGGCGGCGGAGAAAGCAGCTGCGCAGGCAGCAGAGGTGGAGAGGACGGCGGCGGCCGAGAAGGTGGCGGCGGCGGTGGAGAAGGTGGCGGCGGAAGCTTTCGCAGCGGCCGAGGCCGTCGTGGCGGACGACGCGGATGACGAGGCGGCTGAGGCGGCTATTGCGGCTATGGCGGAGGGCGAGGACGACGCGCCCCGCCCGAGTGTCGCCGCGCTGCGCGCCAGCTTTGCTGAGGCCGGCGCGTCGCCGCTCACGCCGGAACAGATCCCGACGCGGGCGTCGTGGTCGTCGGCCGGTCGGTGGCAGTCGAGGGTGTCAGCAGGCGCATCCGCTGGTGTGGGTGCCGTCGCGGCGCTCAAGCCAGTGCCCCGGTCCTCCTCTTTCGGCCGTTCGACGATGTCGGCTCCAGACTCGGCGGCAGGCGGCGTCTCTGCGCTAAAAGCAAAGTTCGCGGGCAACAGTGCGCAAGTGTCGAGTCGCAGCTCGCAACGCGCGCGCAGTAGCAGGCCACAGGTGCCGGGCAAGCTCAATGGCGCCGTCACAGGCCTGAGACCGGGCAGCGGCCTGCACCGCCATCTTCTGCAGGCGGGCGCTGAGCGTTAGCCAGGTTGTACCTAGCTAGGACATTCGATTAGTCGGTAGAGTGATTGTGTGACGTTTCCCGCATGCTTTGTCTTGCCGTGCTCTCCAATAGATGTTTATGCGTAGATGACGAATCTTTTGCTGGCCATCGCACCGAAGTGCGAAGATGGTATACGGCAAGCTAGAGTACCCCCACGCCGTGTCGCGGCGCGTCGGCGTGTACCGTGTGTTCTCCGTCGGCCAGCAACCCCAAACGTCGTTCTCCCGCACGGTGCGTGGGCGGATGTGCGGCCCGCCACTGGCGTGGGGAAGAAGGAGGAACTCGCACTGGGCGTGGGGTCATGGCATCCCGATATCAAACACAAGAAAGACATGATATTAAATATACAGTCAAGATAGAGTCGTATGCCTGCGCATTGGCTGGGCTCGTCCTTGCAGCCCCTAGTCGCGCACTCCATAAGCACCACACGCTCCCCGCCATTCAACAGTGCAGGTGCTCCGCATGCGGTTGCTGTCCCATCCCACACACGCACGCGCGTTGAGCTGCACCGGAGAATGAGTGGCTCTCTCAGATGCTGTATGCGAACGCGAAGGCGGACGGGACCGCGATTGCTTGCTCGTGGGCAATAAACACGGTGGTAGGAGGCGGCGTTTTTGTGCTGGCGGGCGGCGGGGCGAATCGAGGCGGCGACGCAGGCGGCGTTTCCTCCTCCGACGAGCTCCGCGGCGAAGCCTCGACAGACCAACGCATCGCCTTGGCCGCTGTGCCAGCTTCTGCGAGAGCCCGCTTGCTGCAGGCGGGGAGCGCTGCGGAGTCGGCTGCGGCGGGCAGCAGCACGGGCGCGGCGGCAAGCGCTAGCAGGAGCGCCGCCTCCTCCGAAGCCTGAGAAGGCTGCTGCAGCACCCCTTCCTGTACGGCCGATGGCGTTAGCCTCCGGGCCGCGCCGGGGCAGGTTCGGCTCTTGTGGCCGAGGTTGCCGCAGGCGGAGCACCGCTGTGGTCGATTTCGGCGGGTGTTTGCGCTGCTGCTTGAGGATCTGCCCGAACCCACCGACGCCACGAAGCTCGAGGTGTAGCCGCTCATGTTGCCTGATTCGCTAGCTGGAACTCGTGCGTCCTTCCTCCGTCTTGGCAACGTGTCAAGGAGGCTTTGGTTGGTCAAGTTCCAGACCGTTTTTGGTTCGTTGTTAGTCCGACCCCCCCGGCCCCGCTCCCCCCCCCCCCCCCCAGGTCAGTCAGTCAGTCAGTCTTACACACCTCCAAGCATGGAGGACGGGCCCACACGCACACACGCTGCACACGATTGGCTCGGGAGCCGACACGAGGCACACTGTCACCGGCCTTAGCACCGGGTCCGGACTGCTGGACACACAGCACGCAGCTCACAGGACAGCTCACGAGGTGGCGCTACATAATGGGGTTCTCAGGGACTGACACGGGAGAAGAAGCCCATCCCGGAGTGGTTCGATCCCACATGAATCCGAGACGGTGACGGGTGTTGTCTCGGTGATCTCAGGCCCAGTGAGGTAGTGCATCAGACTATCCCGGATCCTGCTGAACAAGCTCCTCTTGTAGCTCGATCGGTCACACCGCCATCGCCGTCGGGGAGAGGGGGGACGATACTGCCTCGGCAGCGTGCACCTCGATCCTGTACCGTGTTTGTTATGACCCCCCCCAATGAACACACCAGTGAGGGAGGGCGAGACGATCGAGGGGTCCCGTACCATGCGGAACCGACCCTATCCAGTGCTCAAGTGCTCAAGAAGAAGGTGGAGCACAGGGACGGGGACACAGAACTCACGAACTGATGGCTGGCCAGCGCGTCGTCGCTGTCTCGGCTGGAGCCAACCACAGCCTCGCCCTCACCGCTGCGCGCTGGCGGCGCCGTGTTTACGTGGGGCACGGGCGGCCACGGCGGCCTCGGCCACGGAGAGGACCTATCGAACCAGCTGCTGCCCAAGCTGGTCGAGGCGTGGGCGCCGGGGCGGTGAGATTGATCGAGGGCGTGATTTGCAGGTGATTTGCGCGGAAGGGGGAGCGCGGGACGCATGGCGGGACACGAGGAGCAGTGGCGGCGCGTCGGCCCATGGGCGCACAGGAGTTGTTGTATCACGCTGGCTCCAGCAGCAGCACATAGAACGATAAAAGCTGTGTGGGACGCTTGTTGAGGGGGGCGTCGGGCGAGACGCAGGGACGGTGTGAAAGCTGACACACCTCGCCGATAACAAAAGGTGTCTGTGAATGTGTGTATCTTATCACCGTAACCGCAGCTACGTAGAGGGAGCGGACCGTGAGTTCAGGAAATCGGGGGACGCGACCCACCTCGCCACAGACGGTCCCGCGCCTCGCCGCTATGACGGCGACACGGCCGCAGCTCGTGTGCGTGTCGCCGTCTTTGTCCGGAGTGAATACTCCATCGCGCTCGTCGGTGACGGTGTCCCCCGATTTCGCCGCGCTCGGCGAACCTCGACAGCGCTTTCGGTGGCATGCAGCTCTTTGCGACAGAAGCCTGGAGAGCAGCTCCTCTGCTGCTCACACACTCTGCACAGCTGACACAGCCCACTGTGCGGCTGCCACAGCTGTCACAGCGATGGGCTCGCCCTCACTGGCCCTCAGTCACTTGTGCTGCGGCTTGTGTGAGCGACACTGCTCGGCGACTGCCGGCACACTGTGAGACCATGGGTGTGAGGTAAAACCACGCTACCAGCGCTTGGTCACATCGGCCCCGAGGTCAGATCCATCTACTCTGTTGATGACAAGACTTGTCTACTGGCTGGAGCCGAGCAGGAGGGCCCAGCGCACAACCCGCCCTGGTCAACTCAGGGTCCACACCCCGTAAGAATGACGGGCCAAGCCAGCCGATCCCGGATTGAGCAGCCTTTTGCGCCCTCAAAGGTGGGTTCTTTAGCCTCGCACGTGCGCGGGCGCCGCGGGGGCCCTACTTCGCCTCTCCTAGCGCCTCTCCCGCGCCGCCGTACCCGACCCGCCCCGCCGGGAACTCGCCCTCCATGCCGGGGCTGTGCAGCCCGAACCGCAAGTTGAGCGAGCAACGTGGCTCGCCGCCCTCGTCCGCCAGCACGCCGTGCAAGCACGCGTCGCGCGCCGCGCCCGACAGCGCGTACGCCTCGCGGCCGCCGCTCTCGAGCCGAAAGCACAGCCGCTGCCGCGCGGCGCCGTCGGTCTGAAGCAGCACCGTCGCGGACCCTCGCACCGCCACGGTGACGATGACGACGCCTAGGAAGTGTCTAGGAAGTGTCTAGGAAGTGTCTAGGAAGCAGCACCGCCACGGTGACGATGACGACGCCAAAGCCGTCGTGCAGCGGCTCATCGAGGTGCGGCCGCAGGTAGCGCCGCCCGTTGTGCAAGTTCGGCTGCGCCGCAACCAGCCGCGCCGGCGACAGCGCGGACCGCGACGCGGCCGCGATCTGAGGCGCGAGGCACGCGCAGAGCCGGTCGAGCGCCGCGTCGAGCCCCTCGGGCAGGTCGTCCGGCTCGAGCAGGGAGGAGGCGCGCCGGTTGGCCTCGCGGTCCTCCGCTGCACGGCCGCCGGCGAGCTCGCGCATGCTGTGCGAGCGAGCGTGCAGCGCCTCGGCGGCGGGGTTCCGAAAGTAACCGTAGCACCGCTGCCGCCCCGAGCTGTCGTCGACGCCCCCCCACCCGGCCATCGTCTTGCGGTGCCGCTCCACGATTGTGTCGTGCAGCCTCACAAAGATCTCGTGGTCCTCCGCCGGCACGACCGCCTTGGCGAGCCCGAACGCCGCGGCAGGGACCGCGCCAAAGTCGACGTGGCGCGAGGCGGTCTCGGCGCACGCCGTCCACGCCTCCACCTCCTCCGCCTCGAGCTGCTCGACCACGCGCTGCGCCGCGGCAAAGAGCGCCGCGTCGCCGCTCGGCTCGACGCGCTGGCGTTTAACCGGAGCGGGCTTGCTGCGCGGCATATATGCACGAGTAGGGTGCCGGCACTCCAGCGGGTCTGTCGTTGAGATCTACCTCAAGAGGTATTGGTGCACCAAGCCTAGTCGACTAATTCACGTTTCCGACTACTAAAAATGCTTCCCGTGCGAAAAAAAAGCTCGCAAGCACACCGCCGAAAAGGGCTCGGCGAGATCTCTCGATTGGCACCACTTCCCAAAAATCGACCCAAAAATCGCCCTCCAGACCCTCCCTGGTGGCCAGAGACGCGCGCCGCAGGCGAAGCGCTCGCCGCGGGCCTGCCCCGCCGGCCCCTGCCGACCACGCGTTGGCAGAGCGCTCCTGAGAGCACCAAACCTCGCTCAGAGAAGCGTTTTCCTCCTCTTCAGGCCGAGATGCGGTCCACGTACCAGTCCTCTGACCACCGCAGGGCGGCTGCTGTGCGAGAGAAGCCGCGCCACTCGTTGTCTCGCACAGGTCGGAGGCTCACAGAGGGCGGGAGCCGATCCAGCAGCCGGCGTATGTTGGTGTCTCCGACGATGCCAGTATCTCCGACGTCGACGTCGAGCACGCGCAGTGCTCCAGCTACGCACGACGTGCCAAGGCGGGCATGACACTTCAGCTGCAGGGGGGTGAGCATGGCCTGCACTGCACAGTGCCAAGTCGCTTCGGTCTCTGTCATCCCCCGAGGCCCAACCTCACCCTCGCACTCTCGCGCCTCCGTGGCTTCGCTTTCGTCGGCCTCTCCGACGCCTACCCCCTCTCGGTTTGCCTCTTCCACCTCAAGTTCGGCACGCCTTGCTTGCCTGTCGAGTTTTTGAATTCGCGGCCGACGAACGTGACGAAAACGTTGTTCGATAAATTTACGCAAGGACTAGCTCAAGGAGTGCCCTTTGGCGGCTGCATCGATCAAACGGACGAGGACTTGTACCTCCATGTGCGCGAGCGGTTCATGATCGAAGTGGCCCATTTCGACGCTTCACCAGCCCGTTGCGCGCAAATTTGCCCATACGCACAGCGAGAGGCGTTTGCACTCAAGCCCAGGAAGTTGCGACGACCGCTCGCCCCAGGTGTCAAGCCCTGTTAGAACCGGACCATCAACATCGGGTTCAGTAAAGCCCCTTGTCCTGCCGCGTGCTGGCTCCGGCTCAGGTCAGAGCGAAAACAGAGGGCCCAGCGACTCGTCGGTTGGGTGTAAACAAGCATCCCCACCAAGTGGCTTCAAACCGAAAAGGGCGTGAATAGAGCAGTCTTGATACTGCTGAGGACGAAGCCACGTGACCGCAGGGCCCCAGTGTGCAGTGACTGCGAGCTGTCAGGTGTTTACTGTGGAGGCGGAGGGCGTCCGATTTCATACACATGGAAATCTCTGCGCTACATCGGAAGATCCTTGGACTGTAGATCGTAGATGCCTTTTAGAGATCTCTTAAGTGGCAAATCTCCTGCCAAGAGCAGCAGTAGATTGAAGAACTGGTGGAGGCAAATCTTCTCCGGTGTAGTAGATGCTCGAGAGGACAGAGGAGTCTGAGATATCTCGAGTTGGTGCGTGCAGGGTCTCGGGTCTCGCTCGTCGCTTGAGATCTTGCGCGACAGGAGAGGTGGAGATTCTGACTTCGCGCCAAAGGCGCCTAGAGATCATCTCGACGTCGCCGCCAGCCATCTCGAGGTAAGAGGCCGCCTGGGCGGGGTCGAGGCCCGTGATGGCGGCCACAGAGTCCGCCATATACATTGAAAAAATAAAACGCCCGCACTCAAGCACTCTCCATCCCCTGCGCCCACACCTCAACCTTCTTGGGCAGCAGCTGGTTCGACTCGTCCTCTCCGTGGCCTAGGCGGCCATATTCGCCCTTGCCCCAGGCAAAGACGGCGCCGTCGGCGGTGAGGGCGAGGCTGTGGTCGCCTCCCGCCGACGTAGTGACGACGCGCTGGCCAGCAAAGGCCTCGATCTTCTTGGGCAGCAGCTGCCTCTGCACGTCGCCGTGGCCCAGCTGGCCACAGCCTCCATAGCCCCAGCTCCAGACAGCGCCGTCGGCGGTGACGGCAAGGCTGGTACTGTAGCCAGCTGATACAGCGACGACGCGCTGCCCAGCCAAGGCCTCGACCTTCTTCGGCAGCAGCTGCCTCTGCTGGTCGCCGTGGCCCAACCGGCCAAAGCCTCCATAGCCCCAGTTCCAGACACTGCCGTTGGCGGTGAGGGCGAGGCTGTGCTCGCCTGCAGCCGACACGGCGACGACGCGCTGCGCAGCAAAGGCCTCGACCTTCTTGGGCAGCAGCTGGCTCTGCTGGTTGCCGTGGCCCAAACAGACTCCACGGCCCCAGCTCCAGACACTGCCGTCGGCAGTGAGGGCGAGGCTGTGCGAGAGTGCAGCCGACACAGCGACGACGCGCTGGCCAGCAAAGGCCTCGATCTTCTTGGGCAGCAGCTGGGTTTGCTCGTCGCCGTGGCCCAGCTGGCCTTCGTCTCCGTCGCCCCAGCTCCAGACGGCTCCGTCGGCGGTGAGGGCAAGGCTGTGGTACTCTCCAGCCGCCACGGCGACGACGCGCTGGCCATCAAATGCCTCGACCTTCTTCGGCTGCCACTGATCCTCATGGTCGCCGTGGCCCAGCTTGCCCTCCCCTCCACCGCCCCAGCTCCAAACAGCACCGCCGGCGGTGAGGGCGAGGCTGTGGTATCCTCCAGCTGCCACGCTCACGGCGCGCTCGCCATCCAGCGCCGACGGGAGGCGCGTCGGCGTGTTGAGTCGCGTCACGCCCTCGCCGTGGCCGAGCAGCGCTGGAAGGAAGGACGGCGCTGAGCCGCACGACGATAGCCGCCCCTCGCCAACGATAAAAAGGCTGTGCCGACCGCCTGCCGCCACCCTCGCCGGCGGGTTGGACTCGTACAGCAGCGCAGACAAGCACAGCCACCGCACGGCGCAGACCTCGCCCTCTGGCTGCGCCGGCAGCTCGAAGCCGCGCTCTTGCGCCCACAAGCGGATGCCCTCCACCGCAAGCGAGGCGTGAAAGAGGAGGGAGACGGCCGCGACGCAAGCGATGTGGACGGGGTCGCAGCGAGAGACGACGCGCACGAGGAGGTCGGTGGGGAGGTCGAGCAGGCGGGCGGGCGGCGGCGTGTCTGCCGAGGGCGCGGCGGCGGCGGCGGTGGCGAGGCGGCGCGAGCGGCGGCGCGGTGGCGTGGACATCGCGAGAAAAAGAATTCAGAATGGGAAATTCTTTTTCCGAGGCCAAGGTTTGAGGACGACGAACACGGATGGGAGTACCTCTGCGAATGGGAAGGCGAGCAGAGCGACAGCTGGGTGTGGCACGATAAGATGCCCCACACATGGTCCGAGCCTGACTGTTCTTCACCTTACTACATACATACATACATGGGAGCGGGAGCTAATGCACGCGCAAGGCGTGAGACGGCAAGCGGCGTCCTTCCGAGAGTGGCTAGAACACCGCAGAAGACTAGGTAGATCGGGGCCGGAGGCAGCGCAAGCGGACAGAGCACTAGAGACGTGCGATGGAAAGAGTAATGCTCCGTCGTGGAGCGACGTGCTCGATCGATTCATTGAATACAGCAGGGAGGTAAACGGGGTGTGCACAAGCGCACCCAACATGACAGAACACACGTTCGAAGAAGGGCGAACCAGGACGGACATCCGAGTGGAGGGGAAGGCCAGGACGCTCTACCTCGGAGGGAAGAAACCGGCGCAAGACAGCGGCACGCAACTGGGGTCGAGAGAGGACGGGGACAATCGAGTGATAAAGCTGGAGGGGACCCCGGGCCTCGATACGAACGCGACATGGGAGGAGGAGATACCTGAGCAAAATAAGATCACGAAGGACGCGGTGAGAAAGATGATGGAGAGACAGGATAGGGAGCGACAGGAGGGGAGCCTCGGGGAGGATGAGACGTTGTTCCCAGAGGGGGCGCCCCAGAGACACATAAACTGGCAGAAAGAAGACTACGAGCTGTTTGTGGGGCACGGACACGGGGCGAGCGCGATCAGAGTAGGGGAGCTACAGGAGGACCCCCTAACGCGCTTCTTGCTCCGATACGACGAATTTGAGACGGGGGGAGAGCTGACGGACGGCAACGGGAAGCGAATTAAGATGGGAAAAGACAGTGAGCCGCTGCGGTCGGGGAAGGGACGAGCCCTGAACGTGAAAGTAGCGCAGACATGCCTCGCGCTGCACGTCTCACACCAGTTCACACACTTTGCGGCGACGGACGGAGGAAAGGACCATGAGGACAAAATGGCGGAGGATGGAAAGTACGTGCCGAACCCTAGGGTGGCGTACGGCGTGTTCGAAGGACCGACACGATTCGGAAAGAGCGTCCCGGGAGACGCACAGGTAAAGGATCCCAACGGAATCGGACCCTGTGAGGAAGGGGAGATACGGACAGCGTTTGGGGCGGGAATGTGGGGAGGAAAGCTCCCGAACATGTGGGAGCCGATAGACGCGGAGATGTACGCGATACTCGCATACTTACGCAAAATGGCGAGAGCGAGCGATGCGCAATCGCGGCGGTGCTTAGTGCTATGCGACTGCAAACCCGCGCTGCAGCAAATTGAGAACGCGCACCGCAAAGGGATGCCAGAAGGTCTGAGGGACTGGGAGAGAGGAGGTCTCCTGGAGGCGATTGCATACTATAGATCGAAGCTAGAGGGGGTGGTCTTCATGTGGGTGCCAGCACACGTGGGAATAGCCTGCAACGCATACGCCGACGCGGTGGCGACAGCACACCTCGGGGATAACGACACGGAGGACGCCTCGAAAGTGGTGCGGGACGCGGTGCGGACGCGGCCATGCATGTACACGGTACGAAGGGAGGCGGCGGAGAACACAGAGGAGAAGGAGATAGTGGACCGGCGGACGTACGGACACATGTGTAAGAGCGCGCACGAATGGGTGTGCGAGCAATATCGAAAGACAGTGAGGCCGGGATCGCACACGGCAGGGGTGGCGGGACGGTTGTGGAGCGAAGTGGCGGTAGCCAGCCTCAAACATCGATGGGATAATAAGATGAGATTACCAGACGAGAACGGGGGGAAGGATAGGCGGGCGACATTCGACGACGTCGGGGATCACAATGTGACGACCAAAACGATCTTGGGGGCCAGGGTGAGACAACAGGTCGGGGTGCCACATGGGGCGCACCACAGGCGTATTTTAGAGGGGGAAAAGAAGCGGGGAATGAGGGGCCCCGCCACGAGAAGTGCGTTCTGGGGATGCAGAGCGTGCAAAGCGGCTAGGGATGAGGCCACAAAAGAGGCGCGCGAGGCGAGGAGGAGACGCGGGGAGCTGAAAGACTGGGACGACTGGAAACAAGAAGACAGTGAGCCACCACAGGCGTCGTTGGCGCACATACTGAGCGGCAGCTGCGCTGGAAATAAGGAAGAGGCGCGTCACTTCATGCGGAAGCTCGACAAACACACAGCGAGGGCGACAGCAAGAGTTGAACGGGAGGCGCCGGACTCAAAAGACACCGCCACATTCCTGAGACGAGCGAGGGCAGCCTCCTTAAAGGCGAAAGGGTCTAGATTTGGAGCGCTCGCCGAAGAGGAGTACGACAAAATAGCGCCCGTGATTGCCTGCACGCTACCCGCACTCACGGACTCCATACCCGAAAGAAAGAGAAGGGAGCTCGCGGGAGAGGTGACGAGTGAACTACAGGTAGTGGGGAAGGCAGCCTCGATTGCCATACAGACATGGGTACGAAACAACGACAAGACCAAGGCACGGGCAGAGGAACGAGAGAAGAATATAGGGTGGATAAAGCGCCTGTTCACGGCATGGAGGGTGAGCCACACCGAACGTACCGAGCGAAGAGCCGAACGGAAGGAGGACGGGGAAGATGACTCCGAGGAGGACGAACCAGTGGAAATTCAGTTGTCAGATGTCACGATGCATCCGAAGGGGACCCCAGCGCCGGCATCATCCGTAGAGGCACGAGTGTTCGAAGAGAGAGTGGACCTGAGCAACAACATGACCTGCAGGCAAATGATCGGAGTGGGAGTCAGAAATGTGGTCCTTGCGCGAGGGGAGCTCGATAGACTCGAGGGGCCAGGATATGCAGCAAGGAGGGCGGAGCTGCGCCGAAAGGCGAAAGAAGCCGAGAGAACAAGGGAACGGCAGGCGGCGGCGGCGCAGGACGAGGCAGAAGAGAATGACGCGACAGAGGAGGAAGTGACAAGGGAGAGAACGACGAGAGTGGGACGGCCGCGAGGTGGCATGAAGGTTGCAGCGAGAATCGGCGAGAGACTGCGAAAAGAGATAGGAAGAGGCAGACTCCCTAGGGTGGGCGACGGCTAGCGCATCACACTCCTCTCCTTAAAATCCCTGTGTGGTGGCGGCGTGCCGTCCTCCCATCCCTCCCTTGGGTTGTCTGTTTTCTTTCTTTCTTTAGGCCAAGGTTTGCTCGTGCGGCGCGGCGAGAGTTGCGACACTCGTTCGCCTCCAAGTTCGTATGTTAACTCGACTCAAGCACTTACAGCCCTTGGCCTTGCGCCCACACCTCGATCTTCTTGGGCAGCTGCTGCCTCTGCTCGTCGCCGTGGCCTAGGCGGCCGCTTTCGCCCTCGCCCCAGGTGAAGACGGCGCCGTCGGCGGTGAGGGCGAGGTTGTGGTCGCCTCCCGCCGACGTAGCGACGACGCGCCGCCCAGCCAAGGCCTCGATCTTCTTTGGCTGCCGCTGCATCTGCCAGTCGCCGTGGCCCAGCTGGCCAAAGCCTCCAAAGCCCCAGCTCCAGACAGCTCCGTCGGCGGTGAGGGCAAGGCTGTGCGCATCTCCAGCCGACACAGCGACGACGCGCTGGCCAGCCAAGGCCTCGATCTTCTTCGGCAGCAGCCGGTCCTGCGCGTCGCCGTGGCCCAACCGCCCAAAGGTTCCACAGCCCCAGCTCCAAACGGCGCCGTCGGCGGCGAGGGCGAAGCTGTAGCTATATCCAGCCGACACAGCGACGACGCGCCGCCCAGCGAAGGCCTCAACCTTCTTCGGCTGGTTCTGGTTCTGGTGACGCCACCGCCCCAGCTCCAGATAGCGCCGTCGGCGGTGAGGGCGAGGCTGTGGAATGCTCCAGCCGACACAGCGACGACGCGCTGACCAGCAAAGGCCTCGACCTTCTTTGGCTGCGGCTGGATCTGCGTGTCGCCGTGGCCCAACTCGCCAAAGCCTCCATGGCCCCAGCTCCAGACGCTGCCGTTAGCGGTGAGGGCGAGGCTGTGTTCGCCCCCAGCCAGCACAGCGACGACGCGCTGGCCAGCGAAGGCCTCGATCTTCTTCGGCTCCAGCTGGGCCTGCCTGTCGCCGTGGCCCAACCGCCCAAGGTGACCATCGCCCCAGCTCCAGACGGCGCCGCCGGCGGTGATGGCGAGGCTGTGCGCATCTCCAGCCGACACAGCAACGGCGCGCTCGCCTCCCAGCGGAGAAGGGAGGCGCGTCGGCGTGATGAGCCGCGTCACGCCCTCGCCGTGGCCGAGCAGGGCTGGACAGAAGGACGGTGCAGAGCCGCACGACGAGAGCCGCCCCTCGCCGTCGATGAAAACGCTGTGCCGATCGCCTGCCGCCGCCCTCGCCGGCGGGTTGGACTCGCGCAGCAGAGCCGAAACGCACAGCCACCGCACGGCGCAGCTCTCGCCCTCTGGCTGTGCCGGCAGCTCGGAGCCGCGCTCTTGCGCCCACAAGCGGATGCCCTCCACCGCAAGCGAGGCGTGAAAGAGGAGGGAGACGGCCGCGGCGCGAGCGATGTCGACGGGGCTGTCGCAGCGAGAGACGACGCACACGAGGAGGTCGGTGGGGAGGTCGAGGAGGCGGGCGGGCGGCGGCGTGTCTGCCGAGGGCGCGGCGGCGGCGGCGGTGGCGAGGCGGCGCGAGCGGCGGCGCGGTGGCGTGGACATCGCGAGAAAAAGAATTCAGAATCGGAAATTCTTTTTCCGAGGCCAAGGTTTGCTCGTGCGGCGCGGCGAGAGTTGCGACACTCGTTCGCCTCCAAGTTCGTATGTTAACTCGACTCAAGCACTTACAGCCCTTGCGCCCACACCTCGATCTTCTTGGGCAGCAGCTGGTTCGACTCGCCCTCTCCGTGGCCTAGGCGGCCATATGCGCCCTTGCCCCAGGTGAAGACCCACGCTTCATGTGATGAGTGTGGGCAGGGCGGGCTCAGATCTCCACGTTGCTCGCGTCCTCGGCGGTGATAAAGCCGAGGTTGACGAGATGGTTGAGAGCGCAGCTGTGGTGCGCCCACTTGCCCGCGTACGGCCCGACGCTGAGCCGGCAGATGCGGTCGGAGGTGGGGTTGATCCTGCCGCCGCAGACGTGGCAGGGCGAGGACATGCGAGCGGTCATGGCCATTGCAATGTGGGTGCAGTCGCGGGACCAGTGGCCCGCCCGGCCGCACCTGAAGCACCGCCCTCCGTTGCCGGCGTTTTGGGGCCCGGCAGGCGAGGCCGTGGCGGGAGTCGAGACGTGCGTCTGAGAGACAGACGTCTTCGCCATCTTGGGGACTGCCGAGGGCATCTCGGACTCAAATCGGCGTTTCGGCGACTCGGCGGCGAGTGCCAACGACTCCTGCTCCAGCATGGCTGCGTCACGGTACATCTGACTGAGCGCGATTGAACCAACGCCTTGCGACTGAGGCGGGATCTCCACGCCGTCGGTCCCGCCCAAGAGAGCGTCAAGCCACGCAGGATCGGGGGGGTCGCTCATAGTTCGTCGCCGATTTTAGGCGTCCGGCGGTGATCGGCTGTGATGGCGAAACGTCGGATCCTCTTTTCTAGCCGTCGGAGGGACTCCGTTTGCCGCGAGGGGTCTCCCTGGGGTGTCTCCCTGGGGGGTCTCCCTGGGGGGTCTCCCTGGGGGGTCTCCCTGGGGGGTCTCCCTGGGGGGTCTCCCTGGGGGGTCTCAATGGATGCTTGGGGGCTTCCATGGATGCTTGGGGGCTTCCATGGATGCTGGGGGGTGGGGGGCGGGGGGCACCGAGGCGCAGCCCCGCCCGAAGGCCGCGCAACGATTAGGTGCAGGTGTACACCTTGTACCGACACAGAGGTTGTCTCTCTCAGAGGTAGCCCTCCAGGTAGGCGCGCAGCGCCCACACCCTCTAGAACCTCGCTAACTATGGCGGTCACGCTCTCTGCCGCCGCCGCTGCCGGCTCGCTTCCACGCAAGTGGGGCGGCGTCTTTGGTCAGGAGTGGCTCACAGTGCTCGACGCACCACCCGTGCCGCCCGCGCTGCCGGCGCCACCAGCAGCAGCACCCGCTGCCGAGCCAGGCGCGGCGGCGACGGGTGTGCCACCGGCCGCGGCGAGTGCGAGCGCGCAGATTGAGCAGCTGCTGCGCCGCCTCTCCCTCCAGGAGCTGCTCGATTGTGCCGCTGCCGCCTCCGCCGCCGCCGCCTCCCGCTGCCGCGCCGGCGGCGGCGGCGGCAGCGTGGAGAGCGTGGCGGTTGAGGAGGCGGAAGAAGCGCCAAAGTTCCGTGCTGTCCGCCCCTTCCACCCCGGCCGGCTGCACGCGGCGCTGCAGCGACTCGCGAGCCCCGATGTGCCCGAGGAGAGGGGCTTGCGCCTCGAGGGCATCGCATGGCTCGCGACGCAGCCCAACCTGCAGGGCCTCGTCAGCACCAACGAGGCGGGCGCCTGCGTCGTCGAGCCCGGCGACCCGTGGTGGGCCGTCATCCCGCGCTCCAAGTGGCCCGAGGGCCTCGAGGATGCGATCGCCCCGCTGTGGCACGAGCCGCACGGCGACCGACAGAGCGAGGTCGCGCTCGTCTGGCCCGACGACGCCGCCGAGGGCCGCTGCACGCCCTCCGCGCTGCACGCGGCGCGCGAGCGCTGGTTTGCGACGCTCGAGGCGTGCGTCATGAAGCCGTCGGAGGACGAGCTGCCGCTGGACGAGTTGGACGATCCGTTTGCGGACGCGTGGGCGCCCGTGCTGCGGGAGGCGGCGGAGCAGGAGCGCTTGGCCAAGATCGCCGACGACGTCCACACCGCCTTTGCGCGGGCGAGGGCGCGCCGCCGCCGGCCGGCGTCGAATACTGTGGCGCCCGACGCAGCGGCAGCTCCAACCCAAGCAGCGGGGGCGCCGCGTGTGGCGCCGCTGATCGCTCGCCCTGTCGTGAATCTGATGGGCAGCACGCTGTGTAGGCCTTGCGAGTGAGGTCGAACCCCGTTTTGCGCTCGTGTGTGGTGCGGTGGGCTGCGCGTCGAGGTTCATCCATCAGCTGAAACGACGGGATCCGTTTAGGGTTGGGTGGTCCAACATACTCGTGTCTCGTCGCGTCTACTCATGCACATGTCTCACTCGCTACCGTCGTCTCCTAGTCCTACTACGTCCTAGCTCCTACTCCTACAAACGTGTTCGCTGAGTTCCGTTTCATCACCTAAAAAATGCATCGCGTTGCTTCATCCTGATTCCTGTCGATCCGCAGATGAACGATGGCACACATCCAGCCTTCCACGTTCCAGCGGCCCTGGCCGCCCGCGCTTCTTCACATCTCGCGCAGCCTGCACAGGTCGGCGACGAGCTGGTTGGGCAGCCGCGTGGTCCACGCGTCGCTCACGCCGCTCCGCTCGAGCGCCTGCTGCTTGAGGAGCCGGTAGCGCAGCTCGGAGATGTGCTGGTAGGCGTAGCCCCACACCATGCAACGCTCAGTGCCGTTGAGGGGCTGCGTGGCGCGGCCGTGCAGCACGCGGTGGTTGTTGGTGACGAGCATCGTGTGCTCGGGCCAGTCGACCCACCGCACGAAGCGCTCGTCCTCGACCATCCGCATCCACGCCGTGTACGCGCGCATCGCCTGCGGGTAGACGTCGAAGGGGACGGCGGCGACGCCGCGCTTCGTCTCGGAATGGATCACCTTGGCCACCTCACCGTCGGCGCCCAGCTCGAGGATCGGGTGGGTGTGGCAGTCCTCGAAGACGCCGTCGTGCTGCGCGCCGAGGTGGCAGTAGTCGCCGCGCGCGTCGTAGTGCACGGTGCGCAGCGCGTGCGTGAAGTGCACCGTCGAGAGCAGATCGAAGGCCTCCGGGTCGGTGCGCCGCAGCTCGTTCGCGACGGCGAGGCCGTCGCACACCTTGGTGCGCACCGAGCCCTGCGCCTGGTACATGAACTGCAGCGCGCCGGGGACGCCCTCGATGAAGGCGTGGTCGGTGTGCATCGAGAGAGGGTTGGCCAGGTCGTAGTCGGCCAGGTGCGCCGCCGCCTTCGCCGTCGCCATCTTCTTGCGCATCACCCCGTAGGCGGTGCGCCGCCGCGGGTGCTGGTAGAGCTTCCCCACGAGCCGGTTCGCGAGGTTCGACAGCGGCGCTCCCACGTCGTCCTGATCGAGCGAGTCGGGCGCGCCGACGTTGTGGATCGTGCACACGCCGTGGCGCGCCATCGTCTCGAGGAAATCGATGTTGGCCGCATCCGACGCCATCAGCTCCTCCGCATCGAAGCTGGCGACGGCATGGTCGGCGCCCCACGGATCGCGAGCGATCTCGTCGAGGAGATTGCCCATCCCATCGATCTCGCGCGTCCGCGCGCCACAGAGCGAGCGGCCCACGTACGGCGCCGCCGCCGCGAGCCATGCCGCGTCGTAGCTGTGCTCCTCGCCGGAGCCGAAGCGCACAGTCAGCTCGCCGCCGTCGGCGGAGGCGACCGCGCTCGTCGCGAGCTGCTCCGGCGCACGCAGCACCGCGGCCGCGTCGCGCCGGACGTACGAGTCGGTGAAGTTGGCCGGGCTCGAGTCGTGCAGCCACGCCGCGTGCACGCGGAAGCGGCGGCCGTCGGCAAACGACAGGTCGAGCTGGCCGCCGCCGTTGGCCACCTCCGCCCGCCTCACCTGCCGGCTGAGCTGCGCACCACCACCGACGGCGGTGGCATTGCTCGCTCCGCCGCCGCCACTTGCGTCGCCGTCACCGCTGCCCTCGCCCCTGCCGCCACCACCCGAGTGGCCGTAGCCAGCGTACACGGGGGCGGAGGCGCATGCCACCTCCCATGCGACGTCCCACGCGGCGGTGACCGCCTCGGGCAGCGGGCCTGCGCGTGTCGCCTCAAGGTTGGCCTCGAGCTGGCCCACGGACGACGCGCCGAGGATGATACCGTCGCCGCGGCCGCCGTCGAGACTTGAGTGGTGCGCGAGCCATCGCAACGCCGCCTCCGCCATCGGCACCTGCGCCGCATCGCACGCCTCGCGCGCCGCCACGAGCGCGGCAAAGTAGTCGGCGTGCCAGTACCGCCGCAGGTACCCCTCGTTGTTGGCGAAGCGGCCCTCGGCGGCGTCCTCGGCGGCGGTGTGCATGTGCTTGCCCGTCAGCAGGCCGCCCGCCAGAGGGTTGTACGCCGCGAACGAGATGCCTCTCTCGCGCAGCAGCGGCAGCAGATCAGCCTCGACGCCTCGCGTGCACGCATTGTACATTCCTTGGTAGACGGAGGGTGCCACCCAGCCGCGTGCGCTCATGTGCTCGTGGATGGTCGCCACCTCGTCGGCCGTGTAGTTGGAGAGGCCCAGCCGCTGGAAGCGTCCCGCCTCGTACGCCCGCTGCGTCGCCTCGAGCGTCTCTTGCAGCGGCGTCGCGCCGTCGGGCCAGTGAAGGTAGAAGAGGTCCACCTCCGGAGTGCGGAGCGCGCCGAGGGATGCATCAATCTGCGCCGTCAGCCGCGCGCCATCCAGCCCGCCCGTGCCGTCGCCGCCGCGCTCCTCATCCGGGTTGGCCTTGGTGGCGAGCAGCGCGAGCGCCGCCTGCGGGGCGGGCAGCGAGGCGAGCACCTCCCCTATCATCGCCTCGGTGTTGCCCTCGGCGTACATGCGTGCGGTGTCGATCTCCCTCCCGCCTCGCCGCAGGAAGGTCTCCACCATGCTGCGCGCCACACCCACATCGACCGGCTTGGAGGCCTGCGCCCAGCCGAACGTCATCGTGCCAAGGATTGGCTTGGGCACTTCCGTTGGCGTCGGCGCCTCCGCCTCGGCCTCCGTCGGTATCGGCGCCGTCGCCACCGCCTCCACCTCGACGGCTGCCGCCCCGGCCTCCTCCAGGGTCCGGTCCCACTCTCGGCGCACCTCGAGCATCACAGGGCCACCCACGCCGGCTCCGTCAGTGCCGCCCGCCAGCAGCGCCTTCACCGCGCCCGACTCGAGTGCGGCCGCCACGTCCTCCGCATCTTCGGCGAGCAGGTGGTGAATGCCGTAGGCGTCGCACAGCTTCCCGAGGTCGGGGCGCGGCGTCAGCGTCGCGAACGCCGGCAGGCTGCGGCGGATCTCGCCGTAGCTCGCATCGTTCCACACGACGAGCAGCAGCGGCAGCCGCTCCTCCGCCGCCGTCGCGAGCTCCTGCACGCTCAGCTGCAAGCCGCCGTCGCCCACGATGGCCGCCACAACGCCGCTGCCGCCGCTGCCGCCGCTGCCGCCGCCGCGTGCGCGCAGGGCGAGGGCGGCCCCGATGGCGGCGGGAAGGCCGTAGCCGAGCGCGGTCGTGCCGACGGGGTAGAGGAACGACGCGGGGGAGTGCGCCGGGTACAGGGAGAGGGCGGTGTAGCCCAGGCGGCACACGTCGGCAACCAGCGGCACGCCCTCGGGCAGGGCGGCGCGCAACAGCCCGAGCGTACGTAGCATCTGCTGCCCGCCGCCGTGCGCTGCCCCGAAGTCCCACATCAGCGTCGACGTGAGGGCCTCGCCGCCGTCGGAGCGTCGCTTCGCCTCCGCCACCGCCGCCGCCGACGCCGCGCTCCTTCTTGCCGCCGGCGACGTGGCATCAAGTGCGCCGACTGGGAGCGCCGTCAGCAGCTGCTCGCACGCGACGCCCACGTCGGCGAGGATGCTCGTGCCGTGGCTGTTCCGCAGCCCCGCCTGCGCGAGGCTCCGTTCGTCGAGGTCGACGTGCACCGCCCTGCCGCCCAGCCGCGCCAGAGGCAGCGGCACCTCCTCGTCGTGACGGAACTGCCAGTAGTCGGTCGGAGAGAGCTGTGTTCCCAGCAGCAGCAGCCCGTCCGCCCGCTCGAGCAGCAGGTCGCGGGCGGGCGGGTGGTGCAGCCGGGCGCCGGCGCAGAGGGCGTGTCTCTCGTCGACCACGCCCTTGCCCGCCACCGTCGTGAGCACGGTCGCGCCGAGCCGCTCCGCCAGCAGCCGCACGTGTCCCGCCGCCGCGACCGCGCCACCGCCCGCGATGATCACCGGCCTCTCGCACGCATCGAGCGCCATCGCCGCCTCTGTCAGCTGCGTGCGCGCCACGGGCGACAGCTCGACGGAGGAGGCGGCGGCGGCGGCGGCCGTACTGCCCAGCTGGGCGGCGGCCGGAGGCGCCTCGGCGACGAGCAGGTCGATGGGGATCGAGACGTGCACCGGCCCAGGCCGGCCGCTGCGCGCGACAGCGCACGCCTCGGTGACCGCCGGCGCGATGTCGTGCACCGACTGGACGGCGATGGATCGCTTGCAGACGGACGAGCAGATGGCCTCGGACACGCCGGGCACGTAGTGCGAGTACTGGCGGTTGGGCCTGCTGCGCCAGTACTCTGGGACCTCCGATGCGATCACCACCATCGGCACCGAGTCGGCGAGCGCCGCCGCCATCGGCGTTATCGTGTTGGTGAGTCCGATGCCCGTGACGACGCACACCGCCGCCATCTCGCCAGTGGCACGTGCGTAACCGTCTGCGCCGTAGCCGGCGCCCGACTCGTGCCTGGTCGTGATGTGCGTGATCGAGCCTCTGGATCCCTCCAGCGCTCGGTATATGGGCACGGTGTGAGTACCTGGGATGCCGAAGACGGTCCGAACACCAGCGGCAACCAGCGCGTCCACAGCAAGCTCTCCGCCCGTTTTCGCTTGCCTATTACTCGTGCTGCACGCTCGCCTAGGAGTGCTGAGCACGCCGTGTAGGCGCGGCAGCACGCGGAAGCGTCTGCTGATCATCGTGGTGCCGGATTCGCTTTGTGCGTGGGGGGTCTAGAGTTTCCAGACTCTTCGGTGGCGCGGCTTCCCGGCGTGTCACGAGTGCGAGCCGCTCGCGGTTCGTCGGGGCCCGTGGTTGTGGGCGTTTATGTGAAGCACCTCAACCTCTCATAGACCAGCGCAAAGCGCCATGGACAGGTGGCGTTTATTTTTGCTTGGCCGGGTATCATGCTGAAATTCTGCAAAAACCTGACCGGCCCCTGCCCTGCCCCTACCTACCTACCTACCTACCTACCCTACTTATGGGAAACTAAAAAAGAAATCACCGGATGGGTGAAGGTGGGGTACTATACCAACTAGAGTGATGGTTGGTGGGCACGCCCACCGCCGCCTTACGCCCGATCGCGTTAAAGAAACGAGCAACGTCCGCTCCCGTCATGAGGGACCGCTTAACCTCATCAAACACGCTCACCCGAGCGCCCGTCTGCACGACGTAGTACGACTCCATCACCCCGAGCATGCATTCCTCCTTTCGCAGGTAAGAAGCCGCCCCCGTGTACTGCTCGAGCTGCTGCGTCTCCCAGTGCACGAGCACTTCCAACCGCGCCCGCTCGAACACTCCCTGCGCGGCTCGCGGCACCAGCGACGTGCCAGCGCCGAGCGCGTTCAGCGATCTGCCAGCGTACTCCTTCGCACGTTGCCCGCGGCGCGCCGCCTCGCGCCCCTCACTGTCCGCGTCACGCAGCTGCTCCTTCTCGCCATCGCAGTTCCAGCACCTCGTCGCCCGTGCATCGTTCCGCGTCTCGCGCCGGCAGTAGATGCACTGCCAGTGAGTGAGGCGCCGATCCATCCGCCTCGTCTTGTTTGCTCGCGTCGGCCCGACGTCGCCTCTGCGCTCATCTTGTGTGATCGCGCCTTCGCCGGCCTCCCGAACAACGCATGCAGGCAACGGTTGTGTCCCGCCACCGAACTCCCTGCCGATCCCGTGGAGCTGCCCCATCGGCTGCAACGGCCCGGTGCACATGCCGACCGGCGCGGACAGTGGCTGCAGTATTGCCACCGGCGTGATCGTTCCTCGCGAAGTCGTCGACAGCCGAGGTCTCGCGAGCCACTCGTCGGTTCCCTGCGGGAGCCGCTCCTCGATTCGTTGCGTCTCCGCTCGGTCGTCCATCGCCGCCAGCCACCCTCGGGTCGCGTTCGGTCGCCAGCTCTCCAGCTCGTCGTTTGGTCACCGAGGAGAGGGAACGAAAGCACACCTCAAACTGCAGGACGTGCATCCTGGACGCATCCCTCCTTGTCCCACTTATCGAATTTGTGCAGGCGAGAGTACTCGTCCGAATTCCGGCGTTTTTCATAATTCTCACCCTACTATACTACAAGTACCCGCTTGCGGGTTCGAGTGGCGGGCTATCCCGCTTGCGGGATGGCTTAGCGGGTTCGAGCCGTCACACATTGGCTGCCGGGGTGTGCCGAGGGGGGGCTGGGTGGGCGGTAGGCCGTCATTGCCCGGCGCTGCTTGCAGCGCTCTGGGTGGTAGTGGCGGCGCTCCAAGAGTGGTGCTCTTGGGAAGAGGTTCCTCCTTTCCGCTCCCCCCCCGCAAGGCGCGAGACACACACACTTCCCTCAACCTGCGCCGCGCTCGGCGAACCTCGACAGCGCTTTCGGTGGCATGCAGCTCTTTTTGCGACAGAAGCCTGGAGAGCAGCTCCTCTGCTGCTCACACACTCTGCACAGCTGACACAGCCTACTGTGCGGCTGCCACAGCTGTGACAGCGATGGGCTCGCCCTCTAGACACTGGCCCTCAGTCACTTGTGCTGCGGCTTGTGTGAGCGACACTGCTCGGCGACTGCCGGCACACTGTGAGACCATGGGTGTGAGGTTAAACCACGCTACCAGCGCTTGGTCACATCGGCCCCGAGGTCAGATCCATCTACTCTGTTGACTGTTGATGACAAGACTTGTCTACCGGCTGGAGCCGAGCAGGAGGGCCCGACGCACGACCCCTTGGTCAAGTCACCCTCCACACCCCGTACCCTGCTTCCCTGGTCCCTGGTCCCTGCCCCGCTGGGGCTTGGCGCCCCCCGATATGTGCGATAAGAATACTGAATACACCCTGTTCAGAGTTTTTTGGCAGAGTAAGCCTTATAGCAGTAAGCGCTGGCAGCCGTCCAGTACGGACCGTCCCCACGCGTCCGTCTGATCTGGGGAGGGAACTGATACAGTAACATGAGACAGAGCCGTTACACTTACACACACTTGTCACTGCACGATGGTCAATGCGAAAACAGTACGCGTCGCCGCACGCAGCTAGTGATGCGGTCTTGGGCTCGCTCGCATGGCCCCCGACAGGCCGAATGTCTAAGGCCAGCTCGGCCACGTAGGCGAGGGCGGCTCCTTGCACCGCGACCCGAGCAGCTCCTCAAGCTCCGTCAGAGCGGCCGCGCTCAGGCCGTGCCGCGCCGCAAAGGCTTGCGCGGTGTCATCCGCCGCCGCCTCGCCCGCCGCCGCCTCCTCCCCGGCGGCTTTGGCCGGGGCGTACCGCGGGTGCACGCGCGGCCTCTCCGGCGCATCCCTCTCCACTGGCACGCCAGGGGCCGCGCCCTCCTCCGAGGTCAGTCCAGCGCCGCGAAGGAGGGAGATGTCACCGGCGATCCCCGCGAGGCCTGGCATCTCCCAGCCGCCGCTCTCGGAGAGACCGCCATCCTCCTCCCCCGGCGACAGATCGCCCAACAGCCCCGACTGGCTGGCGAGGTCTCCGCCGACTTCACACTCACACATCGGGCAGCCGTCCTCGCCTTGGCGGAAGCCGTGCTCGCAGTAGATCATACACATCACCTCGGCGCAGGCCGCCTTCTCCGCGCCATCCGCCTTCTCGGCGTCGAAACCAAACCGGTCCTCCGCTGGCGACGCCGTCGGCGGCATCGGTGACGCCGTCAGCGGCAGCGGCGGTGGCGGCGGCGGCAGTGGCGACGGCGGCGGCGGCAGCGGCGGCGGCGGCGAGGGCGGCGGAGGTGGCAAAGGCGAAGGCGGCGGCGGTGGGCGCTCCCGTTCGGTGTAGGCATAATGTGGCGACGACGAGGCGGTGGAGGGAGCGCGCATCATAGCGAGCATCGAAGCAAGCCTCGAGCTCGCGTCGGCCTCATTGTAATGCCGCAGAAAGTTCGCGTCGCGGCTGGCCGAGGCGAACAGCACGGCAGCACCTGTCGCAGCAAGCAGCGCGGCGGCGACGCGCCACGCTGATGGGCGCGTGGTGGAGGAAGGGGGCAAAGAGGTGATCATGCGGCCACAGCTAAGGAGGGGGGACCCGACAGGGAGAAAAAGAATTTTACACGATACAACACTGGGCACGGGACTGCCGCGAGAACAAGGGACCGGCAGGCGGCGGCGTCGCAGGACGAGGCAGAAGAGAACAACGCGACAGAGGAGGAAGTGACAAGGGAGAGAACGACGAGGGTGGGACGACCGCGAGGTGGCATGAAGGTTGCAGCGAGAATCGGCGAGAGACTGCGAAGAGAGATAGGAAGAGGCAGACTCCCTAGGGTGGGCGACGGATAGCGCACCACACACCTCTCCTTAAAATCCCTGTGTGGTGGCGGCGTGCCGTCCTCCCATCCCTCCCTTGGGTTGTCTGTTTTCTTTCTTTCTTTCTTTACGGGACTGGCGCGCACTGGCACTAAGAAAAAAAGAATTTCAGCGCTTCGACACGCGCCCTCCTTTTGCCTGGCTGTTTTCTTTCTTTCTTTCTGCGCGACAGGCGAGGCGCGGGCGACGGCTTCCTCAGGAGCGGTCACACCACTCCCACTCCGGCGCCCACCCACTCCCCACCCCGACATCCCCACCCCACCCCACAACCCCGCCCCACCCCGACCCGAGCAACCCCGCCCCATCCCGACCCGACCCGATCCACGCATCCACCCCGCCAGACCCCGCCCCGCCCTGCCCCGCCCCCCCCACCAGACAAACCCGTGAGCCGCTCTCGGCTCCGCCCCCCCGCCCAACCCTCACCGAGAAAAAGAATTTCAGAAGCAAAAAGAAAATTCCTGCGCCCTCTAAACACTCTAGAAAAACGCAAGCTAAAATCTAACCCCCGACACTCGAAGCACCGCCGCGACGAGCGCGTTGTTGACATCGGGCACATGCGGCGAGAGGACGCGTGCGACCGGCGCCAGGATGCGAAGCACGCCCACGTCCATGACGGCCTCGAGAGAGTGCGTGAGTGCCGCCGCCACGCTCTGCACCAGCTGAGCGGAGTCGGCGCCCTCATCCGCCCCGGCCCCCAGAGGCTCGTTACCACTGGTGACCACAGGCCACGAGCACGGCCGCGACGGCGGCGGCCCCGCAGGCAGCGGCTCCGCGGCTAGCTCCGCAGTTAGCGCCGGCGCAAGGCGCTCCTCCGCCGTGGCGTCGCCGACAGCCACGGCCGCGTCAACAACCGCCGTCGCCGCTGCCCCGCAGGAGCTGCGTTCACTTGGGGCTGCATGCGGCTGTTCGGTCGTGGTGTCTACCGGATCGTCCTCTTGCCTCGGGCTGTGGCTAGTTGCCGGCACCTCGCTCGGAGGCGGCGTGCTAGGCACCTCGCTCGGAGGCGTGCTTTCCACGTCCCTCTTCTTGGCCTCCTCCGCCGCTTCTCGCCTTGCCTTGCGCTCGGCGGCGCACTGCTTGTCCAGCAGATAGGTGCGGAGCTTCAGCGCACACTCGCCGACCTGCCCCTTGCGCACCTCAGGCGGTGCGGCGGCGACGGCCGCCTCCAGCAATGACGGGCTTCCCAGCCTTGTTGCCTCCCTCATTGCGTCCTTGAGCGCCGTACACTGGGCAGCGAACTGCACCGGGGTGAGAGCTGGGGCGAGCCTCGCCAACGCAGCCGTCTGAGGCGCAGCAATCGGGGCCGCGGCAGCGGCAGCCTTTTCCTTCTGCGCCCGCCCTGTCTTGCTCTTCTTCTTGGGCTTGGCCGCCGGCTTGGGCTGGACCTGCTTGCTTTGGAGCTCCTCCTCGTGCACGAGCGATTGGAACATTGCTTCCGCACGACGGCACATCTGATCCGGAGTGAAGAGCGCCGCGAGCTGATCAGGATGGAAGTGGGTGCTAGCCCATGCGTTCTGCTGCTCAGGGCTCAAGTCATCCATGATGGTGAACGTAGCTGAGAGCTCTGCGCTACCGGTTGTGGGTTGACACCTCAAGGGAGGGATGGGAGGAAGATGCCGCTCGCGCGGACGACACAGAGCGCCATTGGTGCGGCGTCACGCGGCCGCGAGGGACCGCGGGGGGTTGCTAGTGGGATGGGGGGCTCTGAGGGGAAGGGAGCGGGGGGCGCCCAATAGGGCGCCGGCACCCCAGCGTAGAGGGCGTCGGTCGTGTATAGCCCTCCTTCTGGCTGGTTGGTGTATATAGAAGCACGCCGCCACCACACAGGGATTTCCAACTCTCGTGAGGCTGTGAAGCACACCCAACCTAGCGGATTTGTTTGGGACTTGCCCCCGAAAAGTGAGTCTTCACAGCCACACCTAATGCGCAGCCGGGAAAAGCTCGCCGACCGATTTCCACAAGCTTGCTTGCTAGCGAGGATGTTCCTCCTCCTGGCGGCCAGCCTCGGCCTTTTCCGGGGGAGCACCATCGTGATCTCCATCTGCATGTTGATCTCGGCCAGCGTCGTTGGCTCCGTCTCGATGGCGCCGCCCTCGCGCGTGACCCGCTTGTAGAACTTGACCTCTCCTCATTGAAGCCGGGGACCACCACCACCTTCACCACCCCAGTGAGCCGCTGCAAGCAGAGGGTGGGAGGTCATGATATCTCACTGTGGATGGCGGGAAGGCCGTGGCTGGTGACTGCGGCTGCTGGCAAGCGCGCGCGCCTTGCAGAGGTACTTGGGCACGGTACCTTGCGACCATAGTGGACGTTGGTCCAGCCCTCGGTGCCCTCATAGAACGGGTTGACGTACTTGGGTTCGCGCCCAGTCGTCCTGCCCTGGAAGATGATAGCCTTCTTCTTCGGCCGTGTTCCACGGCTCGACCCCGGCTCCCTGCGCCTCGCGCACCGCGTCGAGGGTCCGTTGTGACACTTGCCTCTCGCGCCCGTGCCGAAATCGCAGTAGGCTTAGGTGCCCGATCTGGTATGCCTTTGTGCCTTTGAGGGCTCGCGGGCCTCTCGGCACCCCCTTGTCGGCCCTCGGCTTGCGTGGTTTCGGGGCGTCTCCTCGTTGCTGCCCCTCTCTACGCCGCTCGTCTCGTGCGCCGATGAGCTCTCGCGCCATGGCTGCGAGACTGTCCCCGTGGCACAGCCTCCCCTCTCGACACGAGGGCGAGCATCCGAGCCGCACCACCTTGGCGTTGCCGCGGCCGTTCAGCGCGGCCCGCATCGCCACGACGGCGTCGTTCCCCGTCCTAGCTTCGTCGGAGCGTCGAGGGGCGATCTCTTGCGAGAAGGGCCGCCCGTTGGCCTGTCTGATGAGCGCTGGCGTGGATCTAGTGTCCCGCACGGCCGAGGCGGGAACGGTGCGCAGCCGGAGCCACGTGTCGAATGCCTCCGTCGCATACCTGGTCGCGTAGCGCCTCGTCGGTGCCTCACTTCCCCATGGGGAATGGGTTGCCGAGCCCGGTGCCTCTCATGATGTTGACTGGCAAGGGGCGCGGGACTGTGTCCGCTCCCGTGTCGCGCGTCTCCGCTCGTCGGCGCTTCCAGCGACGACCACCCTGATCGAAGGCTCGGCATCCCCCTGTCCGCCGCTGGGTGCGCCCCCGCTCGTGTCGCGCCTCGGGCTGGCGGTCCTCGGGGGGGGGCTTGGCGGCTTCGCCTGGCGTGTGTCGCTGCTGCTTCCAGCCCTCGACCCCCCCATGCGACGGTCCCACTCCTCTCCTGCCCCCTCGTCGTCGGTAGGCTCCTCCTCTGGCACCGGCTGTGAGCGGTCGTCGCCGTCGTCGTCGTCTACGTCGTCGTCGTCTTCTCCGTCCTGTTCCCCTTTTCCCCAGCGGCGCCGCCCCTCCACGCGGGCGCGTTTGTCTTGCGCCATTCGATGGCCGTCCACGTAATCGAGGCCTTCCTGGCTGCGTTGGTCGCCTCTCGCACCGCCACCTGCATCGCGGTGAGGCGCTCGCCGTCGCGCCCACCTCGCGTGGGGGGTGGTACATAGCCCGTTGCCGCCATTCTCGCCCTCGTGGCCGCCCGTTCGCGTTGTGTAAGGGTCGGGGAGGGCTCCCGACGCCGCCGCCCTGAACCGCCGCCACTGTTCGACGCTGGGTAGGTTCTTGCCCGCCGTGGTGAGCGCCGCGGCGACGTCGAGCGCCTGTTTGACTGCTCCCTGGTATTGACTGAGGTTGCATGCAACAGCGCGGACCCGGTCGCGAAAGGGATCCGTCTGAAGCTGCGGGTGGACAGCCACGTTTGTGTGGTCCCCTCGTGCCGCCCCAGCGCCTCTGTCGTGAACCTCCTCGGGGCTCGTGTCCGACGTCGATCGCGTCGTGACTCGTGTGTCGACAGGAGCCTTTTTCAGTGTATGTAGCTCTTACGTACGTACCCGAAGCGAAGGTGAACTGCTGACAGGGTTTGCGATTTTTTTATTTGTGCCCGGACTCTTCTGTTTTATATACCCTGTGCTGTCAGCAGAGTCCTCCTACGGGAATGTGCGTAAGAGCCATATACACTGAAAAGTCTATAGGGTAATTTTAACGGCTGTTGTGAGGGAGACATATGTGGTCACTCCCAAGAGAGCCAAGAGTGGCTTTGGGCATTGGGGGGGGGGGAGGGAGGAGGAGTCACCGACAGAGCAGTTGTACAGCAAGCACCCACCATGGCATGCACACGGGGCGGGGCTGCGCTTCGAGGTTGGGGCCGCGGCTGAGAAGTTTGTGAAGAGGGCTTAGTCAGCCGTGGCTGGGGGTCGGCTGCCAGTCTGGAGCTCAGTCCAGTGACGAGTAGAGCTGGCGCGTGTTGCCTTTGCTCTTGTCGCCCGCCGGCCGCACGTCTCTTGGCGTCTCCCAGGCGAGGGCGGAGGGCGGGGCGGCCGGGCCGGCGGCGGCGCCCTTGCCGGCGGCGCCCTTGCCGGCGCCGCCGCCCGCGCCGCGCGTGCCCGTGGGCTGGCTGGCGTTTGCCTCGTCCTCGTCGTCAGACTTGAAGAAGCTCGACATCGCGCGGTCGAGCATCCCGCCGAACCACTGCGGCCGCGCCGAGCCGGGAGACCGTACGGGAGACCCCGCCATCCCCGGCGGGAAGGTTCGCTCCTCCTCCCACGCAGACAGCGCCGGCGTCGGCAGCTCGCGCGGAGTCTCGGTGAGGACCATCTCGATGAGGGCCGACCGCGGCGTGTCTGCGTCGAGCGCGTCGTCGACGCGCTGCTCGCTGATGCCGATCTGCAGCGCGCGCTTCGCCACCTCGGTCATCTTCAGCCCCTCGAGCTCGCAGCGCAACGTCGCCTTCCGCTCCGCCTCCTCGGCCGCCTTCGCCTCCGCGGCGGCGGCCGCCTCCGCAGCCTTCCTCGCCGCCGCCTCCTCCGCCTTGCGAGCCGCCGCCGCCTCCGCCGCCTGCCTCGCCGCCGCGTCCGCCGCCCTGCGCGCTGCCGCCGCGTCGACCGCCCGCTGCTGCGCCGCCGCCTCCGCCTCTCGCGCGGCGTTGATCCTCGCTGTGTCCGAGTCGTCGGTTGGCAGGACACTCGACCCGTCGCGAGGAGAGGCAAAGGACGCCTCGGAGAGAGCGCTCATCTGCCGCGCCTTCGTCGCCCCCGCGACCTCCAGCCTCGCACTCAGAGGCGCGCCGCTGCGGTTTGCGGCGCCTCGAGCCGAACCGCGCGCCGGCTGCGGCGCGCCTCGCGCAGACATCGACCCTCGCCGCGCGCGGGCGAGGCGCTCGTTGTACTTGTTGTTGTGCGCGTCCGTGTAGCTGCGCGGCGACTTGAGGTCCGCCGGCTCCGCCACCGGCCCCTCGTCCCACAGCCAACTCGGGTGGCGGAGGCCGGCGGCGCCAAACCGCGGAGGGGGCGCCTGGCGGGGTGGGGCGGGAGGCGGGCGGGTGAGGGTGAGGGTGGGTGGAGGCGGGCGGGCGGGCGGGCGGGCGGGCGGGCGGGCGGGCGGGTGAGGGTGGGGGTGAGGGTGAGGGTGGGGGTGAGGGTGAGGGTGGGTGGGTACGTGGGTCGGTGGGTGGCTTGGTGAGGGTGGGTGATGGGTGAGGTGCTGGGTGGGGTGGGCGGTGGGTGGGTGGCCGCCTCCGAGGCCGCGGCGACGCCGGCGAGCGAGTCGACGGTGTCGGCCGTCTCGGCGGC